CAAGGGCCCAGCGTTCCATTCTCCCTAAATCCTGGCTCAGCCCTGGGGAGGGACCCGGGCTTGGTCACCATGGGCCAGTGCCCCCTCCTGCACTTTGTCCTTCTGCACCTGAGAGAGACAGAAAGATGCCCCTGAGCCCGTCCCTGGTCCTAATGTTGTGCCTTGGGACACAGAGCCAGGCCCGTCCCTCCGCCACGTCTGCGACTATAAACTCTTTAAAGATGTGTTTTCCTTTCACAGTTAGTTTGCAGTTAATGCTGGTTTTTGATTTGTATTGAAGTACATGCTTTCTGTGGTCTGAAGAATGGATAAGCAATGCAAGCCAACTTGGACTATCCCTTCACTGGCAGTGTTAGGACTGAGGCTTCCCTCTGCCAGGCCGCCCGACCAGGTTGAAGTGTTGGGTGCTGGTGTCAGATCCTAAGATAAAATCAGGTGGCTGTGTCCTATCCTAAGGAAAGATGTGATTCATAAGAGAGATTTCACTTTTACTTTGTTGGAGAACTTTGGTTCTCATCACTGTTCCCCCCTCGGCAGCCAAAGCAGTGGACGGATACGTGAAGCCACAGATCAAGCAAGTGGTCCCTGAGTAAGTGTCTGGGGTCCAGCTCTTGAGCCCGTCCCCTGTCAGCGCTGCCCTGAGGCCGCTGAGGCTCTGCTCTGCTTCCTCCTCCAGGTTTGTGACTTCTGCAGACTCTGCTGGGGGCAGTGCCACCTACATGGACCAGGCCCCCTCCCCGGCTATGGGTCCCCAGGCTCATTACAACATGTACCCACAGAAGTAGGTTGTGTTCCTATAAGGCTTCACAGGGGGCTGGGCCTGGGCCTGGGCACTTGGCCTTGGGCTGCTGACCGGGCGGGGTGCAGGGCCTGGGATGGTCTCTGCTCCTCGTCATTGGTCTCTGACAAGCGCTCCCTCCCCCCTTCATCTCTTCTCTTACCCTCCCAAGCCCTGACCCCGTCCTTGACACCGACGGGGACTTCGATCTGGACGACACGATGGACGTGGCGCGCCGCGTGGAGGAACTCTTGGGCCGACCTATGGACACTCAGTGGATCCCTCATGCGCAGTCGTGACCTCCATCGCCTCCGTCAGAGTCTCGGCCCTCGTGAGAGGAGTTCTTCTTGTGGATATTTTAATTCCATGAATCGCTTCTCCCTGGAAACAATACTCATAATGTGAAGTGTTAATGCTAGTAGTGACTTTAGTGTTTCTGTGCATGGTGGCCCCAGTGCAGGGAGCGTGTGTGTGTGTGTGTGTGTGCGTGTGTGTGTGTCCGTGTGTCCGTGTGTGTTCCTCCCCCTTGCTGTCCAGACAGAGGCCGTGGTTGTTTGAACCTTGTGCACAAAGGCAGTTGGCTCCACGCGCCCTGGCACATGGCCGTGTGTCTTGAGGTGCCTGGACTTCGACGTGTGGCTGTTCAAGTAAGAGAAGGACGCGGGGAGGAGAAAGCACCTCCTCTCTGGCGAGTCTTTGTCACTGTGTGTGCCAGGCAATTGTGCTGTAGCCATGATTGTCTCTCCTTTTCTTCTGCAATGTGGAAACCGCCTCCTGACAAAGAATGCCAGTCCGCCGTCCGCCCCCCACCCCATTTTCCCGGGTAGGGATGGGGAAAGGGGGCAACTTAGGAGGATTGTTGGGGCAAAGGGAGCCAGAGGTCTTCGGAGGGGTAGTGGCTTTTGTAAATAACATGTAACCCGTCTTCGTGTTTTCTCCGTCCCTCCTGCCCTCCCTGGCTGCGTCCCTCTCTCCTCCTCTCACTCAGTTCCTCTGTGTGCGCACACGTGCAGATGAGCTAGAGGGCAGAAGAGAGGGTCACGCCACTGAAGCTTACAGTGTTGGTGTCCTTTGTGTCGCGGCCAGAGTGGAATGCCCAGCCCTGACCCGCAGGCGCCGAGAGCATCACCTCGTCGCCCAGGGAAGCTGCCGTCCCATCTGCCCATCCTCCCTCCGCGCTGGGAGGCTGACCGACGCCAGCTCTTCGCAAATGTCGGACAGTGTTTTTGCTTCTAACTTGGGACTTCTTGTTTTCCTCTCCCCACCTCATCTGACATTGAAGTTCTCTCGTCCTGTGTCAGGTCCTGTGCCATTCCTACCCAGGTCACCTCATTTCCCTTCACTGATCGTGCGCGATGTCTCGGGGAGTGGGCGGCAGGAGTGCGGCCCGAACCCAAGGCCAGCATGTCCAGCAGGTGTTGTTGCCCACCTGGTGCAGGGTGCTGGGGGTCAGGCATGGGGAGTTTGGGGAAATGCAGTCGGCAGGTTTGTGGGAAGTTTAGTAAGCTGCAGAAAGAAAAAGGCTCAAGGATAATTTTGTCCATAGTTTCTTCCGTGGCTCCACGCCAGAAGGAAGGAATGGGCTATGGCATGCAGGTGGGAAGAGAGGGGAGCAGGTATAGTTTTCAGGTTAGGCCTACAAGGTCGCCCCTGGCCCCCTCTCCGAAAGGATATGACGAGGCCCAAGAAATAATGGCCCTAAAAACCGTATTTTTATATGTGTGAGTAAATAAACATATTTTTTTTACAAAAACTAACTTCTGAACTTACCAGTGTTTTGATGTTAAAGGAACCTATTTCTCTGTAGTAAATTATTTATTGGAAAATGACTTTTTAAAAGCTGCTGTTTGCGCTGGCTTGGTTTCATACACTGATTTATTTTTCTATGCCAGGCAGTAGACTCTCTCTGCCTCTGAGGCGCAGGCCGACCCCTCCGTGGATACCAGCGTTGATGTAGGATGCTGCTAAGCCCCTTGCGTACCCCTCAGGATTCAATTAAAATCCTCCCTGTGAGGACGGGAGTGTTGGGGAAAGGTGTAAGGAAACCTAACCCAGTCTCGAAGAGCCCTCACCTGCCTGTCACTCAGGCTTCACCAACGCCTGCCTCAAGAGGGACGCCCTCATTGTCCCAGCTGGGGGGACGAGAGTGGGGGGGTATCGACCCGCTGGGAAGTGGGCCCAGCCCTGGGGCATGGCAAGGTCTAGCGCTCACCTCACAGCTGCCAGTGGGGTTGAGGAGACAGGTGCCCAATGTGGGGCTCCTTCCAGAGCTTGTACAGTCGCTGAGCTGTCCTCAGTTTTCCCGAGAACTGTGCCTGTCGATGGGAGAGATTTTCGACGGAAAGGCGCGCTCGCTATCTGCACTGTACTTTCTCTCTTCTCCCCGTTCCTGCAAACCAGAGGAGGCCGCGGGAAGCCCGGACCGCCCCGGCCTCTGGCTCGCTCCCAGGCACACACAGAGTCATCAGCGTCCCAGCTCCACGTGTGCGGCGTGCAGGGTTTTGTGGGGGTGGCGGGGAGACAAAGTGAATATAACTTAACGTGGAAGTATACTTTTTATAACTTTTCTTTTTAAAACTTTGTGAAATTATTTCAGATACATATTTTAGTGTCGAGGCCAAATAGCATTAGCCAGCAAGAAAAAAGTATTGTGTACAATTCTCCTTGGGCCAATCACAAAATAATGTATTTTATGTTACAATAAAGCCTTCCTCTGAAGGGGCAATATTGAGTCCTGTTCTATTTTTTCCAATCAGATGGCGAGGGAGGGGGGTCAGGAAGGGGAACACTGGCGATCATCAGTGAGGCTCTGAAAGGAGAACTGTTTGGGAGCTGGCTCCTCCGAGAGAGGTCACCGGGTTTGACGGCGGATGGGGCGTTTATTTTTATTTCATTTTTATTCTTTAATCCTCACCTGAGTGTATTTTTCCATTGATTTTAGCGAGAGTAGAAGAGAGAATGGAAAGACAGAGAGAAACATTGATGTGAGAGAAACACATCGATTAGTTGCCGCCTGCACACACTCTGACCAGGACCCCTAGCTGGGTCAGAGCCTGCAACAGAGGTACCTGTCCTTGACCGGAATCGAACCTGGGACCCTTCAGTCTGCAGGCTGACACTCTATCCACGGAGCCAAACTGGCCAGCGCAGATGGGGGCGTTTCTTACCTCCCTGCTCACATGATGTTTTGACACTTAGACCTGTGTCCGCTGAAAGGACTGTTCTTGCACAGGGAAGGAGGCCCCTGTCATTGTGTAGTGCTTTGGGATATTCAGCTCTTCACAAGCAGGTGCCACTTGGCTAAGAGCCACCAGTGTTCCCGAAGGCTGTGTTTCAAGCTCTCTTCCCTTCTGTGGGGTGGAGATCCATCATCCGGATGCGGCCGAGAGCTGCTGTGTGTAAGTTCTCTTAACAAACTCCTCGTTTCATTCTTTGTCATCCTCTCCTTTCGGTCTCAGCCCTGTCCTCCTTGGGAAGTCAGCTGCGGCACACCCCAGGGAATTTTCCAACACAAAGGACACTCTCAAGAAAATAAAAAGAACCCACAGGAGAAAATAAAAGACATTTCTGCAAAGAAGATATACACGTGGCCACTATGCTCAACATCATTAGTCATTAGGAAAATTAAAATAGACTCAAGTCACTCCATACCCACTAGAATGGCTAGATCAAAAAGGCCAGGTAATAAATTAGCAAAAATGTAGAGAAATCGGAAAAACTCACGTACTGCTGGTGGGGATGTAAACGGATGCAGGCACTTTGGAAGCCAGTTGAGCCATTCCTTAAACAGTTAAAAAAGAGTGACTCTACAACCCAGCTATTCCTGACACAAGGAAAATTACATGTCCACAGAAAAACATGTATGTAAATGTTCATTCTCCATAATAGTCACAGAGCGGAAATGAGCCAAATGTCTATCAATTGATGAATGGGTAAACCAGTGCGATGGTGTTTACACAGCACGTTTGGGTGGTGTTACCTCCGATGGAATATGATTTGGCAATAAAAAGAACTAGTGGTGCACAGGAACCCAGAGAAGAACCTTGTAAACATTATGCTAAGTGAAGGAAGCCAGATGCAAAAGACCATGTGTTGATTCCATTTATGTGAAATGTCCAGAATAAGGGCGAATCTATACAGAAAGTAGGTTTGTGTTTGCTTAGGGCTGTGGGGGAGGAAGCTGGGAAGGGATTGAGGGGTATAGCTTAAGGGTACAGGGTTACTCTTGAGGTTACGAAAGTAGTATAAAATTGACTATTGGTGTCACACGTGTATGTGAATATACTGAAAACCATTGACTTGTACACGTTAAATGGGTGATTTGTGTGAATTATATATATAATAACGCGGTTGTGTTTTTTGTTTTTTTTTTTGACTTTTATTTTTTTTTTTTATTTTTTTTTTTTTTTAAGCCTGGGAGTAATTTTATTTTATTTTTTTTTTCCAAATTTTATTTTTTATTACAAAGGGTATTACATATGTGTTCATTTTTTCCCCGCGGTTGTGTTTTAAAAGCAAGCAGAATATCTCAGCAAGAAATAAAGGAGTGAAAGCGAGGGGGGGTGGGGGTAGACTGACTGAGAGCAGCCCTGTGCAAAGGAGCTCAGCTGTGAAACGCAGGGAGAGATGCTGCGAGACAGAGCCAGCAAGGGAGGGGTGTTAGTGCCCGAGAGCCTGGGGCCAGAGCGCAGGCGGAGGGAGAGGGATTGACCATGGGCCGCAGAAGAGCCTCACACATCTTCCCACCTCCATAGCAGGGGAGTCCGAGCCTGAGGTCGCCGGGTGCCTTGCTCCACGTTGCAAACGACCCTGTGTCGTATGGAAGCTTGTGTTTCCTTGGGATGAGGCCAGTAAGCTAACACAGGTCGTGACCCCACATCGGATGAGGTACCTGTGACAAGTGGCGCCATCAGCTTCTCTGGCTTGAGGACTCGTTACCACTTAACCTGGAGAACACTGTCTGACGGGCTCTCTCTGCCTGGCTGTAAACGGGGGCGAGATGCTTTTCTGTCTTGGCAACCCCTTAGCGGGTGGCCTGGGACGCGCGTCACCTTCTAACTTAATGTTTCTCCAATAACAAAAGTGTCTTGGTGGGGAGGCTTTCTGGGTTGGGAGAAAACGTTGGTTTTTACCCGTTGTCCAGCTTGAATCTGCCCCACCCCCGGCCGACGCTGCTTCCTGGCGCTCTTTCCCGCACGGTCAACCTTCTCTTCCTTCACCTGCACAAATTTGAGGGCCATCCTGTTCTAGCCCTCGCTTCCCATGTCTGCCAGCCTGGGCCAGCACCCAGCATGCCCCCCTTAGGCAACCTGCTCCTTTAAGAGCACCCCCCCGCCCCCATCCCAGCTCCTCCCTCAGGCCCAGTAACCGGATTTCCCTGTTTGTGAGGCCCAGCCTTCAAAGCCAGGGTCCCTTCTTGCTCAGCTGTAGGCTGAGCCGGGGGTGCGAGGGGGCCTGGATGCTGGGAGTAGGCACAAGTGGGCTGTGACAGGTACATGTGGGACACGAACCACTGCCCAGGGCTCGGAGGGACACGGAGCTGGGACAGGGTGGGTCCTGGGAGGAAGCAAGAGCCGCTCGGCAAGACCTGTCATTCACCAAGCAGCCGCTGGGCGCTGGACACCGTGCCCAGGCCTTTCTGCACCTTCTGAGGCACGGATTATGCTCCCATTTGACAGACGGGGACGGAGCTCAGAGCAGCCGCCTGAGCCACCTGGGTCCACACAGGCAGCCAGGGGCAGAGCCAGGACCCGACCTCAGGTCAGTGCGACACTAAAGCCTGATGCTCTCCGCCTCACTGCCCGACGGGGAGTCCTGGCTTCTCCTGCGTGAGGTAGAATGGGGGTACGGAACGGGGGATCCCCTGCAGCTGCAGGACCAGGACTCCGGGCCCTTCCTCCTCCAGGAGCTGCCTGGAGATGCTGCTACTGCTGCTGCTATTCCTGAAAAAAAACGCGTGGCGTGCGGGGCCCTGTGCTGGGCAGCCGCCTGGCAGCAGTGGAGGCTGGAGCAGAGCACCCTGCACGCGGGCCAGCGCCAGCAGCAGGCCCTGAGGTGGTGTCTGAAGGGAGCCCAGGGTCCCCACTCTCCTCTCCGGGGGAGCACAGGTGTGTTTTCCGGGGTCTGGGGAGGTGGCCCCAAGAGAAAGGGACCCCACAGGACAGTCAGATTCCAGAACCTGAAGACCTCCCGCTCCCAACACGGAGGGGCTGGGCCAGGGACCCTCCCCAGGCTCAGCATTGTCCGAGAGGACTTTTCCCACCCTGGGCCCGGATAGCCCCGCCCCCACCCAGGCCTGGCCCAAGTCCCTTCTTCAAAGGTCTCACCAGCCTTGTCTGAAACTCCTGGGAAGCTGTGTTTATGATGTCTTTGGGGCTACAGATATGACCACCTTCCGGAATCATCTCCCTTTGACCAAGGCCAGCCAGGCCCCGGAAGAAGAAAGTGGGGAGCAGCTCCTGCCCCCTACTTCAAAACAGCAGCACGGGGAGGCCTCTCTGCAGGTAAACCCAGAAGAGCCCAGCCCCACCGTAGACCCCAGCTTGTAGCCACACCCTCCCACCGGGGTGGGCAAAGAATCCCCAAATTGGGGGCTCCGGGTCGGGCTTAGGCAACACCCTCTCTTGTTTCCCTCCAGGCCACCTTGCTGGGTCTGGCAGCCCTAAACCAGGCCTACCCAGCAGCGCTGGCCCCGGGGAGCACAGCCTGTGTGACCCCTGCCTCCCCCTGGCCCCACCCTCTCCCCTGGCCCTGGCACGCCCTCAGCCAGGGTAGCTCCCCTGGAGCCAAGGACCCCGGGGCCCTGCTGCTGGAGGCACTGAGGTCCCCAGGGCTGCGGGCACTGGAAGCCAGGACGGCCGTCGAACTCCTGGACGTTTTCTCGGGCCTGGAAGCCGATGGTGAAGAGCTGGCTGAGGCAATAGCTGCTGGGAACCCAGGAGCACCTCTCCCCACACGGGCAGCTGAGCTGCGGGAAGCCCTCGAGCAGGGACCCCGAGGACTGGCCCTGCGGCTCTGGCCAAAGCTGCAGGTGGTGGTGACTCTGGACGCCGGGGGCCAGGGCGAGGCTGTGGCTGCCCTGGAGGCCTTGTGGTGCCAAGGGGTAGCCTTCTTCTCACCTGCTTATGCTGCCTCTGGAGGTCAGCAAGACTCAGGGGTGGGAGCTGGGGTCAGGGGGCAGAGGGCGCACTGCTGGCTGCCATATAGTGAGCCCTACTCCTCTCATGTCATCATCTCATGTAATCCTCCCCACCCCTTGTGACTTCCCCCAACACCAGCAGCTCCATTTTACACATGGAGAAGCTGAGGCTCATAGAGAGGTTGCACAAACTCACACAGCCCCAGCATTTACCCCCAGGCCCGCCACACCCAGAACCACTGCCTCTTCCCAATTAGGGCCCCAGAAGCAGGGTGCTGAGCCTGGGGAAGCCACAAAGGAGGGGGTGGGAGGGCAGCAGGAGAATCAGATACTCAGAGGGTGGAGGCCCAGGGGTGAGGGCCTAGCAGAAAGCAATGGCACCACCAGAAGAGGCTGCTTGCTTCCCGCAGGGGCGGTGGGCCTGAACCTGTGGCCAGAGCAGCCCGCTGGGCTCTACCTCCTCCCCCCTGGTGCTCCCGTGATTGAGCTGCTCCCAGTCCAGGAGGGAGGCCAGGAAGAGGCTGCCACCACTATCCTGTTGGCCGAGGCCCAGAAGGGCCAGGAATACGAGCTGGTGTTAACTGATCAGGCCAGCCTTACCAGGTGATCATCTGCCCACCCCCTGGTGCCTCAAGCCCTCTGGGGCCTGTTGAGGACCAGGGGCATGAGCTGACGGGTCCTTGGGCCTGACCTCCCCTCACTGCCCCCCGTCAGATGCCGCCTGGGTGACGTGGTTCGGGTAGTTGGTGCCTACAATCAGTGCCCAGTCGTCAGGTTCATCTGCAGGTGGGTGACATCCCGGGGAGCTGAGGGGCCGTCCTTAAACCCTGGGCTCCTCTGCCTCCCGCTCCTTCCTCCCCAGGCTGGGCCAGTCCCTGAGTGTTCGAGGAGAAGACATTGGCGAGGACATGTTCTCTGAGGCCCTGGGCCGGGCGGTGGGGCAGTGGCCAGGGGCCAAGCTGTTGGACCATGTCTGTGTGGAGAGCAGCATTCTGGGTAAGCTTCTCCCTTGGCTCCCTGCCCCCCATTCTTGGGTTAACTCCCCCACAATCCGTGCCCCTCCTGCTGAGAGCTCTCTAGGAAGAAGGCCTCCTTTGTGGCTCCTAAGAAGAGTCCTTCCCCAGGTCTCACTCCCATCCCTCCTGCTGCAGTCTCTCCCTAGTTCCTTTCCCGACTTGTTTCATATTTAGGACTAGGCCCTGGGCTCCTCTTCCTTTACCCTCCCTCCACACCAAGAAACCCCTGTTTTCCCACGAACCTCAGAGCAGAGGAGAACGAGGTGGGGCAGTGGGCGTTGGTTTTGGAGGCTGCCCCATTCACAGGAGTGCGTGTGCGTGGGTTTTGCATGCAGATTCCTCCGGGGGCTCTGCTCCCCACTATGAGGTGTTTGTGGCACTGAGGGGGCTGAGGAACCTGTCGGAGGAAAATCGAGACAAGGTAAATGAGACAGGGACAGGGTCCGACTGCATGTCCCCTTCATTCTGCACCCCCCCACTCCACCCCCCGCCCAGGTGCAGTGGGCACAGCCCAGTGAAGGGGAGGTGGGGGCAGGGAGGAGAACTTTCCTGAGGCTCTAAGAAGAGAGGGGTGAGTCCCAGATACACACGTACACGTGAAACTCCTACCCACACACACACACACACGCTAGGCACAGGCAAGCGCACCCCATGGCCACACACCTCATGGCCACGCACCAGCCTCACTCAGCCGTCTGTCCTCAGCTGGACCGCTGCCTCCAGGAAGCCTCTCCCTGCTACAAGGACCTGCGCTTCCGCGGCAGTGTGGGCCCTGCCAGAGTCCACCTGGTGGGGCCGGGGGCCTTCAGAGCGCTCCGGGAGGCCCTCGCTGCCTCCCCCGCAGCCCCCTTCCCTCCGGCAATGCCCCGGGTCCTCAGGCACAGGCACCTGGCCCAGCTCCTGCAGAGGAGGGTGGTGTCCTGAGCGGAGGCTGCCCGCCGGCCCCACCGCCCCACAAACTGCCTCTCTCTTTCCTCTGGAGCCTCTCCGGATGGGGAGCCCTGGGCCAGGGTCTGTGACTCTGTGTCACCTCTCAGTCGCTCATCTGAGCTGCTGGGCCTTCGGGAGGTCCAACCTCGGCAGCCAGCTCTGAGGAGGTGACCTCCGGGGTGTAGCAGACCCCGCAGGGCAGGGCCCTGCCTGGAGCCCCGTGGACCCCTTCTGGAGGACCCTGCTAGAGCGTTCCCATACATGCTGGTGCTCGCGTGTCTCCCAGCCCAGTGCACTGTGCAGGCTGCGAGTGTTGGGAGTTGGTGTTCCCAGGAGCACCCCTCAGTCAGCAAGGAACAGGAGTTGTGAATACCAGCCTCAGCTTCATTGTCCCTCAGAGCCACTATTTGAAGTGTGTGTGCACCAGCTGCCCACACTGGCAACCCTCTCATGAACACGGTTCTTAAGGCATCCTTCCCGTCTCCACTCCCTGATGTGTTTTCTAGGATCACCTCCCAAATAAACCTCTTGCACCCAGGTTCTTGGCTCAGGGTCTACGTTTGGGGAAACTGTAGAGGTCCCTTCGGCTCTGATCCTGCCGCAGCCTGTCCCCTCCTTCAGCGCTGATCACAGGGCTTCCCCCTCTCTCCACGGGGGAGGCCCCAAGTGTGTGCATGCAGGAGACCTCGGGGACTCCTACCACGGCCTAGGTCAGTGATGGCGAACCTATGACACGCGTGTCAGGTGACACGCGAACTCATTTTTTTGGTTGATTTTTCTTCGTTAAATGGCATTTAAATATATAAAATAAATATCAAAAATATAAGTCTTTGTTTTACTATGGTTGCAAACATCAAAAAATTTCTATATGTGGCACGGCACCAGAGTTAAGTTAGGGTTTTTCAAAATGCTGACACGCGGAGCTCAAAAGGTTCGCCATCACTGCTAGGGCATCCACTGGGGTGGCAATGGACGGTATCCTGGGCCCTCACCTTGTCTCTAGGATCTGCTGGCGGATGGTCTTGACGTACTCAAAACTGTCAAAGCAGCAGATGTCGTAGACCAGGATGTAGGCGTGGACACTCCGGAGTCCCCTGCAGCAGGCATCTGCCCACTCCTGCAACACCCCCAGTTAAGGCCAATCCGGGCCCAGCGGCTCCGCCTCAGTAATGCAGCACCTGTGTGTAAGTCTCTGCTTCTGTCCCCGAATGACTTCTCAATCCCATGCCCTACCTCCAGGCCCCTATGCCCACCCACCCAGTCCCTGTATCAGCCCATGACTCCTTCCCACTAAAATCTCCATGGTTCCCCGTGCCCCCAGGGTCAAGACTAATCAGCTTAGCCTCAAAGGCCCTTTGACCCATCCCCGTTCTTGCTTGCCTGTCCAGCCACCTCCCTCCTCTGAGGAAAGCCACACCCCACTATCCCACATGAGTTAGGCACGGTCACCGCCAGGTCTTTGGTTCAGTTGTCCCTTCAGCAGAATGCCTTCTCCCCTGGCCTTGCCTGGTAGAAATCCCCTTTTCACGAAAGGCCTTTTCAGAATCCTTCCTCCCACTGAGCTACCATTATATGCCGGTCACACTCCCACCTGGACTTCGGAGCGCCTTGGGAACTGGGCATGTCCTATGCATAAGTCACCCCAGAGCCCCGTGCAGGGCCTGACACAAACCAACTGCTCAACAGACAGTGCCCTGAACAAGAGGGGCTCTGGCATGGGGGCTCACTCGCTGCTGATGGTGGGATGGAACCCCGTCTCTCCCCTCCAGGAAGGGAGCTGGGAGGTCAAAGGGTAACACCAGGCACTTTTTTCTCACTGCCCCGGTTTGGTTTTCAAGGTTTTCCATCTTGGAGGGTAGTGGAAGGGGCAGAGGGAACGGACCTGGGGGAGGGAGAGCCAGCTCATAAGCCGTTTTTCCATGGAGGAAGGAGGCCCTGAGCCTGACAGACCCCAGGGGCAGAGGGGAGGAGCACACACACACATAGCCCGTGGAGAATGGGTTTCCTGTCTGCCTCCTCTCCTGCCCTAATTAGCAGCTGCCCCTCCCCACATTGTCGCAGACCAGCGCCCGGCCCAC